TCATGCGTTCGGGGGGCTCCCTCACTTTTGCCTGCATCTATTGGCCGGGGGGGGGGGGGCTTGAGGGGCTTCAGCCCCCCCCCCCGAAATTCTCATGGTGGTTCGCGAAAAGGCCTTACTGGTGCATTATTTAAACTGTTATGTTTATTCATATCATGATCTGATCACCATAATCAATATATCCCATATGCATGGGGGTATTGGGGTAATGATACAAAAGGTTTGCTAGGCTAGACCCTCTTTCACTCAGACTCAGCCCCCACCCCCCCCCCCCCCCCCCCCCCCCCCCCCCCCCCCCCCCCCCCCCCCCTCCGACCCCCCCCCCCCGAAACGAGATCCTGGCAATATTTATAACCCCACCAAAAAAAAAAAACACCCTGAAAAAAAGTCAGCCCCCCCCTGAAAAAACCCCCCCCCCCCCCCCCCGAAACGAAATCCTGGGCTATGGGCCTGTCCAGATCCATCACTGTTTGAGTCCATAGTGAGCTCTGGATGTAGGTGAACTACAACTCCAAAACCAAAGGACACTGCCCACCAAACCCGTCCAGTATTTTCTGTTGGTCATGGGAGAACTGTGTGCCAAGTTTGGTTCAATTCCATCATTGGTGGGGTTCAGAAGGCTCTGTGCCAAGTTTGGTTCAATTCCATCATTGGTGGGGTTCAGAATGCTCTTTGATTGTAGGTGAACTATAAATCCCAGCAACTACAACTCCCAAATGTCAAGTTCTATTTTCCCCAAACTCCACCAGTGTTCACATTTGGGCATATTGAGTATGTAGAGTTTGGTCCAGATCCATCATTGTTTGAGTCCACAGTGATCTCTGGATGTAGGTGAACTACAACTCCAAAACCAAAGTACACTGCCCACCAAACCCGTCCAGTATTTTCTGTTGGTCATGGGAGAACTGTGTGCCAAGTTTGGTTCAATTTCATCGTTGGTGGGATTCAGAATGCTCTTTGATTGTAGATGAAAATTCAGACAACATATCATAAGTAACGAATAATAGAATATAGTGATTTGCAGCACTATAGGACTGAATGCCATTGTTAGATGACACTACCCCCCCCCCCCCAACAAACACATGGGTTAAGGTCCTGAGACTCTACATGAGATTGTATGTGGTATTACAAATCAATATTCAAGCTTTACAGAACCAAAAGAGGTTTAAAATGTTAAGAAAAAAATAAATTATATGAACAGTTCAGAAACAGCAAAAGCTGGTGATAATCAAGTGACGAGCGGAGTGCCGCAGGGTTCCGTCCTGGGCCCGGTCCTGTTCAACATCTTTATTAATGACTTAGATGAAGGGTTAGAAGGCAGGATCATCAAGTTTGCAGACGACACCAAATTGGGAGGGATAGCCAATACTCCAGAGGACAGGAGCAGGATTCAAAACGATCTTGACAGATTAGAGAGATGGGCCAAAACTAACAAAATGAAGTTCAACAGTGACAAATGCAAGATACTCCACTTTAGCAGGAAAAACGAAATGCAAAGATACAGAATGGGGGACAATGCCTGGCTCGAGAGCAGTACGTGTGAAAAAGATCTTGGAGTCCTCGTGGACAACAAGTTAAACATGAGCCAACAATGTGATGTGGCGGCAAAAAAAGCCAATGGGATTTTGGCCTGCATCAATAGGAGCATAGTGTCTAGATCTAGGGAAGTCATGCTACCCATTCTCTATTAGACCACACCTGGAATATTGTGTCCAATTCTGGGCACCACAATTCAAGAGAGATATTGACAAGCTGGAATGTGTCCAGAGGAGGGCGACTAAAACAATCAAGGGTCTGGAGAACAAGCCCTATGAGGAGCGGCTTAAGGAGCTGGGCATGTTTAGCCTGAAGAAGAGAAGGCTGAGAGGAGATATGATAACCATGTATAAATATGTGAGAGGAAGCCACAGGGAGGAGGGAGCAAGCTTGTTTTCTGCTTCCCTGGAGACTAGGACAGAACAATGGCTTCAAACTACAAGAAAGGAGATTCCATCTGAACATGAGGAAGAACTTCCTGACTCTGAGAGCCATTCAGCAGTGGAACTCTCTGCCCCGGAGTGTGGTGGAGGCTCCTTCTTTGGAAGCTTTTAAACAGAGGCTGGATGGCCATCTGTCAGGGGTGATTTGATTGCAATATTCCTGCTTCTTGGCAGGGGGTTGGATTGGATGGCCCATGAGGTCTCTTCCAACTCTTTGATTCTATGATTCTATTACATTTTTATTTATATAGATGTATGCCAAAGTTTGAATGATCTGGAAAGTGGATTGTCTTCTAGATTAACTTAAGGGTCAAATTGGGAGGTGAAGAGATAATAGAAAGTGTCTTCATTCAATGTTAATCAATGGTGTGGGACATATCATGGGGATGATTCATTGTTTATAATTTTCCCCATCACTGAAAACCGAATAATCAAAAGACTAGATGTTCGCATGATATTTGAGCTACATTTGGTCAGCAACAAGAATATGAAGTGTTTCTTTCTCTCTGATTGTGAATAAGAGCTGAGAAAACCACATAGCTAAGCTTAAATACATGAATGTACATCTGACATAGCCATTCTGTTGGTTCCAGAAGTTTCTGATTTAAAGCTCTCTGATTGTGGTTCACATCCAGTTCTGTAAACTATAATGCAGTGCAGATGTTGTTAAGGGGTAACTGACTGACGGATGCAATTAATTTCCATTTCTCCTTTGAGATAGAAAATTGAAGTCTGGTGAATGTATTTGCCATGGTCCATTGAATCAAGGAGAGAGAACAGTAACTTGATCTTTGACCTTCCATCATAAATTCATCAATCTTTCTAATCAGAATGTTATAGTTGAGCAGTCCCCTGAACCTACATTCTTGAGCTTTGGAACAGTGGTTCATTATGGTCTATTGGTTGAAGGGGATTAAAAAAATATCAATTGGACATTTTTAACTGAGGTCAGCAAGAGTCCATAAGTTTAATAAAAACATTTTTGTTGGAATGCTCATACTGTCTTTCTTCAAATTGATGGTCTGGAATGGCTATTTACTATCATACATGGAGCATTGGAAAATGGTGGTGCAACACATGATCAGTTCTACCAATTGGCAGAGAGAGACAACCACCTTAGGCAAAATGTGCCAGGGAAAGCAATGGTATTCCATTTGCCATTTCTCCTGAACTCAACCACTTCTTCGCTATGGGAGGATAGAGCACAGATGGCGTATTAGAGAAAGCATAAAGTGCTTTGTTAACTCTGGTGAGCATTATATAGTGGTTTGAGCACTGGACTGTAACTCTGGAGACTAGGGTTTGAATCCCTGCTTGGCCATGAATGAATGACCTTGGATGAGTAGCAGATGCTCAGCACCAGAAAACCCCATGATAATGCTTCCATAAGTTGAAAACAACTTGAAGACACGCAACAACAGCAAGTGCAGGTTGACCAGTCTTTCTCTCTATGTCAGTGTTTCTCAACCTGGGGGTCGGGACCCCTGGGGGAGTCGCAAGGAGGTATCAGAGGAGTCGCCAAAGACCATCAGAAAATACAGGGTTTTTTTTTAATTTTTTTAATTTATATTCAGAATGGTAACTTTAATCCCATACATCTGAGCTCTCAAATATTTTGTAACCAATCTAGTTTTTGTAGCCTCGACTGGCACGGCGACCTTGAGCCCGTTCAAACTTACGGCCCTTGGACCGGACATATGGCTTAGTATGACTGTGCGGGGTGCCAGGAGCCTTGCCAAAATGCCGGTAGACTTCCCGGGCTTTCCTGGGACCAGAAAGCAATACTGTTCCCTGGCCTTTTGGGGCAGCCATAGCTAACTGGTCAAAAGTCATGATCTGTCCTCCAGATTTTAGGATTCGGGTGCGAGCAACTTTTGTCACTCTAAGGGCGCAAATCTTCAGTTTGGGGATCTCCTGGATGCGGATGTCATCTGTCACTGTACCCACCACAACAGCGGTTTTGTTTTCCCGCCCTGGAAAACAAAATACAGTATTTTCTGTTGGTCGTGGGGGTTCTGAGTGGGAAGTTTGGCCAAATTCTATCGTTGGTGAGGTTCAGAATGCTCTTTGATTGTAGGTGAAGTATAAATCCCACTAAATACAACTCCCAAATGTCAAAGCATCCCCCCCCCCCAAATTCCATCTGTGTTCATATTTAGGAACATGGAATATTCATGCCAAGTTTGGTCCAGATCCATCATTGTTTGAGTCCACAGTGCTCTCTGGATGTAGGTGAACTAGAACTCCAAAACTTGAGGTCAGTGCCCACCAAACCCTTCCAGTATTTTGTGTTGGTTGTGGGAGTTCTGTGTGCAGAGGCAGCCCTAGGTAATTTTCAATGGTAAGCAAACAGTATTTTGCCCCCTCCCCCAATCATTGATATATATTTTCTGTTCATCATGGGAGTTCTGTGTGCCATATTTGGTTCAATTCCATCATTGGTGGAGTTCAGAATGCTCTTTGATTTTAGGTGAACTATATATCCCAGTAATGACAACTCGCATATGTCAAGGTCTATTTTCCCCCAAGAGCGCCTCAAGAGCGCCCCTGGGCAAAATAAACGTAATGGGTTGAGCCGCCCCTGTCTGTGTGCCAAGTTGGGTTCAGTTCCATCATTGGTGGAGCTCAGAATGCTCTTTGATTGTAATGAACTATAAATCTTAGCAACTACAACTCCCAAAGTCAAGGTCTATTTTCCCCAGGCTCCACCAGTGTTCACATTTGCGCATATTGAGTATTTGTGCCAAGTTTGGTCCAGATCCACCATTGCGTGAGTCCACAGTGCTCTCTGGATATAGGTGAACTACAACTCCCAAACTCAAGGTCAATACCCACCAAACCCTTCCAGTATTTTCCGTTGGTCATGTGAGTTCTGTGTGCCAAATTTGGTTCAATTCCATCGTTGATGGAGTTCAGAATGCTCTTTGGTTATAGGTGAACTATAAATCCCAGCAACTACAACTCCCAAATTACAAAATCAATCCTCCCCTAACCCCTATGAGGCAGGTGAGGTGGTAGTCCTTTGTGATATTATACATTTTTCTCAGGAGGAGGCGGTGGTTCACAGTATCATAGGCTGCTGACAGGTCTATGAAGACCTGTGATCTGCTGCCTTTCAAAGCCATCTTCTATGTGCTGACGGATGCAATTAATTTCCATTTCTCCTTTGAGATAGAAAATTGAAGTCTGGTGAATGTATTGCCATGGTTGCGATGTGCAGCTTTTGCCTTTTCTGAAGCCAGCTAGCTGTGGGATCAGACAGGGGAAATAATATAATAATATAATAAATACCAACTATATGAAACAGTTGTGAAAAGTGAACTGGGGATTTGACATTGGGTATCATCAAGTGCAAATGATGTCCTGTCTGGAGTCTTATGTGGTTTCCTCTGAGGATGTCAGCCACAGATGCAGGATGGAGAAAATGTTTGTAGATTTGTCATTACTCTCCTCCCAAGAAGTAAGCGTCTTCTGATTTCCTGGCCACAGTCTACATCTGCAGTAATCTTTGCACCGAGAAATACAAAGTCTGTCATGGCTTCCACATTTTCTCCCTCTATTTCCCAGTTGTCAATCATTCTTGTTGCCATAATCTTGTTGTTTTTTTTTAATGTTTAGCTGCAACCTGGCTTTTGCGCTTTCTTCTTTCACCTTGATTAGAAGGCTCCTCAGCTCCTCCTTGCTTTCGGCCATCAGAGTGGTGTCATCTGCATATCTGAGGTTGTTAATGTTTCTTCCAGCAATTTTCACCTCAGCTTTGCATTCATCAAGCCCCGCACATCGCATGATGTGTTCTGCATACAAGTTTAAAAGGTTGGGTGAGAGTATGGAGCCTTGCCGTACGCCTTTCCCAATCTTGAACCAGTCTGTTGTTCCGTGGTCAGTTCTTACTGTTGCCACTTGGTCCTTGTACAGATTCCTCAGGAGAGAGACAAGGTGGCTTGGTATGCCCATCCCACCAAGAACTTGCCACAATTTATTATGATCCACACAGTCAAAGGCTTTAGAATAGAATGAATAGAACCCAATGCCTTACAAAATATAAATACATCACATAACTAAAATAGCATAGAACAATAGTTACATAGTTTTAACAAGTGGGCCTGTTATGTCCCTTATGGGATAAAGCAGTTCTCCTCATTGGGTTGTTGTAGGTTTTTCCGGGCTATATGGCCATGTTCTAGAGGCATTTTTTCCTGACGTTTCGCCTGCATCTATGGCAAGCATCCTCAGAGGTAGTGAGGTCTGTTGGAAGTAGGAAAATGGGTTTATATATCTGTGGAATGACCAGGGTGGGACAAAGGACTTTGTCTGCTGGAGCTAGGTGTGAATGTTTCAACTGACCACCTTGATTAGCATTTAATGGCTTGGAAGTGCCTGGGGGAATATTTTGTTGAGAGGTGATTTGATGTGCCTGATTGTTTACTCTCTGTTGTTTTGCTGTTGTAATTTTAGAGTTTTTTAATACTGGTAGCCAGATTTTGTTCATTTTCATGGTTTCTTCCTTTCTGTTGAAATTGTCCACATGCTTGTGGATTTCAATGGCTTCTCTGTGTAGTCTGACATGGTGGGTGTGAGAGTGGTCCAGCATTTCTGTGTTCTCAAATAATATGCTGTGTCCAGGTTGGTTCATCGGGTGCTCTGCTATGGCTGACTTCTCTGGTTGAAGTAGTCTGCAGTGCCTTTCATGTTCCTTGATTTGTGTTTGGGCGCTGCGTTTGGTGGTCCCTATGTAGTGGCTTGACATACAAACCACCTACAGACACACCAAGAAAATCCAACAAATACTACATTCAGCAAAGGACAAGAGGGATCCTCTCACCTCTGCAGGAGTCTACCGTATTCCATGCAGTTGTGGACAAGTCTACATAGGGACCACCAAACCATGAAAATGTTCGTCCAGGGTGAACTGGACATGAAATATGAGTCCCGAGGATAAAACCTGAGAATTGGTAATGAGATATAACTTATCCAAGGGCTTTTAGAGCCCAGTCCTTTTTCACGTCCATCTGCAGAGATGTTTGATGGTAGAATGAAAAGAAAGGCCTGCCCCCTTCCCCGGGAAGGAGAGGAGCCAAACAATTAAGCAGCGGAGGCAATTCAACAGATGCTAACAACATTGATTGACAGGTAGAAATAATCAATCAATTCAACTATACATTTACAAACTAGGCAAGGTGACACCACTTGCGCCGTCACAAACACGTAAAATTCATCTATGCGCCATAGCTTATGGAGATCTTGATGAGTAATGAAACCCCCACCTTCCCGTCTGATGTCCTGTCAAAGGTTTACACATTCATAGAGCCACTACCTCTGAGGATGCTTGCCATAGATGCAAGCGAAACGTCAGGAGAGAATGCCTCTAGAACATGGCAATATAGCCCAAAAAAACCTACAACAACCCAGTAATTCCGGCCATGAAAGCTTTCGACAATACATTTATATTTTATATTTCTAGATTCTATACTTAAACCGTTCTAATTGCTATTGCACTTTATGAGGCCTGATAGTTTATCCTCCCCTTAGAGTTTATATTATATGTGCTTTTAAACTATGGTTTGCTATTTTACTGTGCTGTGTTTTTATGATTGCATATGGCATTGAATATCTGCCTTTGTACTTGGAAGCTGCCCTGAGTCCTTCCAGGGAGAGAGGGTGGGATAGAAATAAAAATTTATTATTATATTATCTTTATTATTATACTATTATATTTGTCTCAGCTCTTTTCCACATTTGCCATCACATATCGCTTAACAAGCCAGTTCTCGTCTAGCTTTTGTGCAAGTGAGTCTAATTTGTGGCCTCTTGCCTTTAATAAAGACTCTAGAATATATGAAATGCACTTACAATTTTGACAGTTGTATTGAGTATCCCACTTCCCCTCTTGAAAGGAAACCACAAAAAGGCATTCAAATCCGCTTTCTACAAGCAATATCCGTAGACATTTGGAAGAAAAACCTGATGAAACAAGCTTGTTGACTTTAAGCCCAGATATTTTTGCACAGTTAATCAAATATTTCATGTACTCTTCACTTGTACAGGCTGGCTATTTTCCGAGGGTGTTTCAAAAGGTATAGCCTTTACAGCACAAACTAAATGACTTCTGCAAGGATTTATGTCTCTTCTGGATTTAGATTCAGAAAGGAATCATGAACATTATTAGCACACAGTGAAATGGAAACAATCAGGAACGTTGTGAAACTTCTTAAGATAGACAAATATATTGTGACAGAAATATTTAGTTTTTTAAGTGCCACAAGAGTCAACAGCTTTCCTGATTTCCCTTCAACAGACTAGTTCAGTTACTACTGCTTTGGAATTTATCCTAATAGAATGAATTATCCTGAAGATTTGAAAGCAGAAGGGATTGTAGCCAAGCAATATTCACTCTCAAAAACCTTGAACAAAATAACTCCTCTTTTGCTCTGAAATAATCAGACCTCCCCAAAACCTTCAAGGAAAAGTATACTTCCAGCTTTCTTTCCAGCAAGCATCACAGACCAAGCAAGAGCTCTTTTACCTACCTAGCAGTTCCTATAGTCACCTCCAGATTGGACTACTGTAACGCATTCTACGTGGGGCTGCCCTTGAATACGGCCCGGAAATTTCAGTTGGTTCAACTGGCGGTGGCCAGGCTGTTAACTGGTGCTACTTACAGAGAGAGGTCAACCCTCCTGTTCAAGGAGCTCCATTGGCTGCCGTTCATTTTCTGGGCTCAATTCAAGGTGCAGGTGCTTACCTACAAAGCCCTAAACGGTTTGGGACCCACCTACCTACGTGACCGCATTTCCGTATACGAACCCACATGATCCCTTCGTTCATCTGGTGAGGCCCTGCTCACGATCCCACCAACATCACAAGCGCAATTGGTGGGGACGAGGGACAGGGCCTTCTCGGTGGTGGCCCCACGACTCTGGAACTCCCTCCCCAAGGACATCAGGCACTCCCCAACACTGGCAGTCTTCAGAAGGAGCTTGAAAATATGGATGTTCCAGTGTGCCTTCCCAGATTAAGGAATCACAAGCAATTGTCCCTAATGCACTTTATGAGAAAGTTAGAATTGTCTGCACACCCTTCTATTCCCAAAATATTAAGTCTACCACACCTGGACATGCCCAGCATTTTTAGAATTTTAACTACTACATTTGGCCCTGCCACAGGTTTTCAACAGTGTCGTGCTTTTGTTACTGTTTTATTGCTTGCTTATTTATTGTTGCATTGTATTGTTGTCTGTGTGTTTTTGTTAATGATGTACTTTGGGCTCAGCCTCTTGTAAGCCGCACCGAGACCTGCGGGAGATGGTAGCGGGGTACAAATAAAGGATTATTATTATTATTATTGCTGGAAAGAAAATTGCTGAAATAAACATTAACAACCTTAGATATGCAAATGATACCACTTTGATGGCCAAAAGCAAGGAGGAGCTGAGGAGCCTTCTAATCAAGGTGAAAGAAGAAAGAGCAAAAGCTGGGTTGCAGTTAAACATAAAAAAAACCCCAAGATTATGGCAACAAGAATGATTGACAACTGGGAAACAGAGGGAGAAAACGTGGAGGCAGTGACAGACTTTGTATTTCTAGGTGCAAAGATTACGGCAGATGCAGACCGTAGCCAGGAAATCAGAAGATGCTTACTTCTTGGGAGGAGAGCAATGACCAATCTCGATAAAATAGTGAAGAGTACAGACATCACACCTGAAATGAATATCCGCATAGTTAAAGCAATGGTATTCCCCATAGTAACCTACGGATGTGAGAGCTGGACCATAGGGAAGGCTGAGCGAAGGAAGATAGATGCTTTTGAACTGTGGTGTTGGAGGAAAGTTCTGAGAGTGCCTTGGATGACGAGAAGATCCAATCAGTCCATACTTCAGGAAATAAAGCCCAATTGCTCATTGGAGGGAAGGATAGTAGAGGCAGAGATGAAACATTTTGGCCACATAATGAGAAGATGGGAAAGCTTAGAGAAGACAATGATGCTGGGGAAAATGGAAGGAAAAAGGAAGAGGGGGTGACCAAGGGCAAGATGGATGGATGGCATTCTTGAAGTGACTGGCTTGACCTTAATGGAGCTGGGGATGGTGACAGCCGACAGGGAGCTCTGGTGTGGGCTGGTTCATGAGGTCACGAAGAGTCGGAAGCAACGAATGAACAACAACAACTTTATGTGTGAGATATCTCTGTATCAAAAATCAAAAGTACCCTCTACTATGTTGTATAGCCCCCATGTACCTGCTTCTGTGAGGTATAGCCCCCGTGTACCCTCTTGTACTCCCAATATCCGTATTTTTTCACTACACAGCCTGGGGATGCTGCAATTTGCATCCCAACAAAGGCGCCTTCTACACTGCAATGAGAATATGAGAGGGAGCAATGAGAACATGGGAGTTATCCTGTGTTCTCATTGAGAAGAATGAGTCATTTAGGGCTTTATAGGTTAACACCAGCACTTTGAATTTTGCTCGGAAGCTAATTAGCACACCACTCCGCTGTTACACCAGCTCCACTGGCTGCCAATTAGCTTCCAAGCACAATTCAAAGTGCTGGTGTTAACCCATAAAGCCCTAAACGACTCTGGCCCTGTTTACCTCTCCGAACGTAATCTCCCCTATGAACCATCAAGATTATTAAGATCGTCTGGAGAGGCCCTGCTCTCGGTCCCACCGGCCTCGCAAGCGCGTCTGGTGGGACGAGGGACAGGGCCTTCTCGGTGGTGGCCCCTCGACTCTGGAACTCTCTCCCACTGGAGATCAGAACCGCCCTTCTATCCTGACATTTAGGAAACAGGTGAAGACTTGGTTATGGAGACAGGCATTCGACGAGTGAGCCAACACCCTGAGATATGGATGGAGGATGAGGAGCAACGATTTTAGTATGACGACTGACCACTGTAGTTATTGATTGTAATTGCTGTTTTAATGTTTTACTGTAATATGTATTATGATGTTTTATTGATTGTATGTGATATTATGGTTGGAAACCGGTCTGAGTCCCTCAAGAGAGGTGAGAAGGTCGGTAGCTGGGTGGTAACACTCCCCTCACCCTGGTGGTTCACCATTCTGCCCACTGGATTCACTACGATACATGACAATCCCCACGCTATTGCCTACCATGTGGACCTCAGTGTGATGAGGTCCATAGTATGATGAAGGAGTGGCCTTACCTTAAGGAAAATGAAGCACTTGCCCCAGGCAGTATTGTTGTTGTATTTTTATTGCCATAAATCTTGAAAAGGAACTGAAGAATATTTGACTTACTTTTGGTGTTATACATGTTGGATTGAATGAGGAAAGAGATGTCATGTACTGCCTCAAGCAGCAACATATATTAGTCCAGGTCTCATAGGACAGCCATTCCTATACTTACAATAGCTGTCTGTGTGAGCTGATTTCAGACACAATGAAGATGTTGTCCGAAACTTATGGCAGGCAGGTGATCTCTTTTATTTAGAGAAGTGATCACCTGCAGATGTGTTTACCTTGAAGCACCTAAATACAGCACAAAGTTCTGGTTCAGGGTTTGACGTGATAAAGATATAGGTGTGAATGGTGTCATCCTGTTCAACATCTTTATAAATGACTTAGATGAAGAGTTAGAAGGCATGATCATCAAGTTTGCAGATGACACCAAATTGGGAGGGATAGCCAATACTCCAGAGGACAGGAACAGGATTCAAAACCATCTTGACAGATTAGAGAGATGGGCCAAAATGAACAAAATGAAGTTCAGCAGTGACAAATGCAAGATGCTCCATTTAGGCAGAAAAAATGAAATGCAAAAAATACAGATTGGGGGACAATGCCTGGCTCGAGAGCAGTATGTGTGAAAAAGATCTTGGAGTCCTTGTGGACAACAAGTTAAACATGAGCCAACAATGTGATGCGGCAGCAAAAAAAGCCAATGGGATTTTGGCCTGCATCAATAGGAGTATAGTGTCTAGATCCAGGGAAGTCATGCTACCCCTCTATTCTGCCTTGGTTAGACCACACCTGGAATATTGTGTCCAATTCTGGGCACCACAATTGAAAGGAGATATTGACAAGCTGGAATGTTTCCAGAGGAAGATGACTAAAATGATCAAGGGTCTGGAGAACATGTCAGGATTATTTAGATGTGTGTTTTTTAGTGTGTTTCTATGTAATTCAAGATGGGTCAAGATGTATTTCAAGATGGATTCTATTCTGTTCAGTTGTGTATTAGAAATACTGTGCTGAGGCAGAGAAAATGTAATCTTGACAGAAATGAGATAACGTGTTCTCTGGCTGGGAAGAAGAGGGAGGATCTGGTCTCAGCCAGAAAGTCAGATAAGCAGATGTTCAGAGACTGTTGTTTTGTGCTTTGTAGTTCCTGTCTGTTGCTTGCTGTGAATGGACGTGTATAGATGTACTTAGTAAACTTAGTTTTCTGTTGTAACTAAAAGCTTGCAGAGTCCTGCTTTTTGAACACAGTGTCTGCTGATCTAGCAATCCTTCCGCTGGCAAAGCTTCAATACTCTGACAGAACAAGCCCTATGAGGAGCACCTTAAAGAGCTGGGCATGTTTAGCCTACAGAAGAGATGACTGAGAGGAAATATGATAACCATGTATAAATATGTGAGGGGAAGTTATAGGGAGGAGGGAGCAAGCTTATTTTCTGCTGCCCTGGAGACTAGGACGCGGAACAATAGCTTCAAGAAAGGAGCTTCCATCTGAACAATAGGAAGAACTTCCTGACAGTGAGAGCCGTCCAGCAGTGAAACTCTCTGTTTGGTGGAGGCTCCTTCTTTGGAAACTTTTAAACAGAGGCTGGATGGCCATCTGTCAGGGGTGCTTTGAATGCAATATTCCTGCTTCTTGGCAGGGGGTTGGACTGGATAGCCCATGAGGTCTCTTCCAACTCTATGATTCTATCTGGGAACCCAGAGGTGTAACGGGTATTCAGCAACAGCCCTTGGAACCTAGAACTTTATTCACCACAGTAAAAAATAAAAATAAAACAGAGTCCAATGTATTGTTGAAGGCTGTCATGGCTGGAATCACTGGGTTGCTGTAAGTTTTTTGGGCTGTATGGCCATGTTCCAGAAGCATTCTCTCCTGCTTTATCAATCAGAGTGTGGTATAGCCTCAGAGCGTGGCAAAACAGGGTCCACTGTTTTTAAATGCTTATAGGTGATTTTAATTATTTCCTTCCATTGCAGCCACCTCATGCCATTTCCGCACAGTCCCACTGTACCACCTAGTGTAGTAGGAGCACAGGATGGGATTGTTGAAAAATCTCTCTTGGCCCATTCTGCTTATGGAAAGAGGGGCATTAAGGCCCCTTCTACACTGCCATAAAAAAAGATTATCAAAGCATATAATTCACTTCACTTCACTTTATTTCTTAATTAGTCGCTCTACACCAAGGTGCTCCGAGCGACTTACAATCTAAAATAGCATTTACACAATATAAAAACATTCAACATAAAAAACATTCAACAGTGACTATTTGGCAAATTAGATCTGATTACTTAAATGCACAACCAAACAGCCAAGTCTTGAGTGCCTTTACAAAAGGTCGCAACTCCGACATTGCTCTAATGTATGGAGGCAATGAGTTCCACAGAATTGGAGCATAGGTCGAAAAAGCTCTACGCCTTGTAGCTTCCAGGTGTACCTCCCTAGGGCCCGGTATGTATAGGAGATTTTCCTGGGTGGATCGAGGTGACCACGGATGGAGAAAAGGAATGAGGCGGTCCCTAAGATATAAAGGTCCTTGGCCATTTTGAGCTCTAAATGTCAGGATCAGTATCTTGTAAGAGATCCGATGTTCTATTGGTATCCACATTATCTGCTTTGAACTGGATTATATGAGTTTACACTTCCATATAATCCAGTTCATAGCAAATAATCTGGATTTTATATGGCAGTGTAGAAGGAGTCTAAGAATATAGTACAATTCTGTAGAAGAAGGTCGTAAGTGGCTGAAGTTATGTTTCTGTAGTGTTGTGGTATTAATTCTGTCGTATTAATTACATTCTCTTTCTCTTTTCTTTCAGGCCCTCCTGTAAGTACCAAAGTTCATGTCTGTGATTGGTGTGAAGATTGCATCTGATGGTGAAGTATCTGGAAATTAGAGCAGAGGGAGGGAACTATTCTGAAATGTCAAAATATGGGTGTTATTCTCAATGATACAGAAATGTCTTGACTGATAAACTGCTTTCATTGAGGTCAAGGACCTTCCCTGTATCTGCTCCTTTTCATCTGGCATTCTGCTATGGGAACAGCAGTCTGAAACCCTCCTGAGTTGTGTAATCACTATTAATTTGATAAAACATCTTGACCTTTCTCTTTGACCCAACATCATCCTGTATCCCTGATAATGCAATGCAATGGTGCAATGAAGGACTGCTGCCTATACATTTTTATTCAGTTGATGTTCTGAAGACCTTCCTGAAGTCAATAGCATAGGCCAGAAGAGTGAGGCTTCTGCCTCACTCTGCCTCCATCATCTCCTTCCCTCTTGTAGAACAGATTATCTCATGGAGAAAGCTAAAAAATAAATACCAACATAAGTCACATTGGCTGCCATGGGTCAGTTTAAGTTGGGATTGAAATTAGAAATAGTCCAATAACTTTAATGGTAAGGCAAACATTGATAAAGCTTGTTGGGTTTGTCAACTATAGCTTGTTTACTTTGCACTATAAAGTGGATTAGGGCCTACTTCTGAGTTGTAGTAAAGGCAATAATTGCACAGGTCTGTATCTTGGACAGAAATCCATCGGTAATCCATCAGCGATGAGTTTGCACTTTACTAAATAGAGAAGAGAGAGTTGCTATGACTCAGAAAAATGGGGAATTAATTTTTAGTCCTGAGTACATTTACAGTGGAGCCTCAAGCAGAAAAATGGGGAATTAATTTTTAGTCCTGAGTACATTTACAGTGGAGCCTCAAGCCTTTTGGATTCATGTTTAGCTTAAGAATTGAGCTTTAGGACCTCATCACACTGACCAATTTCTACCCCGGTTGGGTGATGATTCCCCAATGTGTCACCATGCACCTGGCATATTGCCATACATAGTCCAACGCTCGGCAGCCATGATACTAACAGGAGCGGGACACAGGGAGCATACAACCCCCCTGTTGCGCCAACTCCACTGGCTGCCGACTTGCTAAATTCAAAGTGCTGGTGTTGACCTTTAAAGCCCTAAATGGTTCTGGCCCAAGCTACCTGTCTGACCGCATCTCGGCCTATGAACCCACCAGGACTTTGAGATCTTCCGGGGAGGCCCTGCTCTCGATCCCGCCAGCTTCACAAGCACAGCTGGCGGGGACGAGGGACAGGGCCTTCTCGGTGGTGGCTCCCCGGCTGTGGAACGCCCTTCCC